TGATATAGGAAAATTTCTGGTTAAGGATTGAGCAATGAATTTTGGTATGTTTTTTAGTGAGAAAACACGAAGAAAATTGACATAAGAAATTGAAGGAAAAAATGTGACCAGAAAAAATTGTAGGATTTCACATAGGAATTTACATAATTTATTACCTAAGAATACGTTTATAAGAATTTACATCGAATCCTACTTCAAATCATGTCTCAATTTCCTATATGATTTTTCACAAGATCCTATATAGTTTCTTACATGACACATAGGATTTTATGTGGATTTTAATATATGAATTTATGTGGGATCCTATATAAGATTCTATATAAGAATTTTCAGTAGGGTGAAAAGACCTTATTTGTTATTTTTGAGATATTAATTATTAATTAATTATAATTTTAATAAAAAATAAAATATTTTACAAATAAAAAAAAGTCATTGCTATGAATATATACTTTTTCATCGTTCTTATTATACTAAACGAAACAGTTTTTTACCGCTTGCAAGAAAGAGTACTATATTTTGTAAATTAAAAATCACAGTTATTTTTGCTCGATATGTTTTAGAATTTTAAATAGTATTTTAGTATATGTTTAGGAATATTTTACACGGAAAAAATAAGTCAGCAAAACTTTCATAAACTAGTATTTCACTTTTGGACGGGAACGAAAGTTGTTCAAAAAGTATAGACCCAGTTTATTAAGAAAACAAAACTAATTATAAAAATGTGAACTGTGTATACGAGCCGATGCTCAATGTGCTCTGATGTTTCGAAATCAGTTTATCAAACTTTCATAAACTCTCAGCTAGAACTTAAGTACGTGCACCAAAGATTTCATAACACTTATATGCATAAAAATTCGACGACAGTCAACCAAAATAATACTTGTAAACTCACAAAAAATTTAGAAAAATTAAAAAAAATTTCACATTCAGGGGTATTTTTTTACTTAATTTGTACATCACTTGAAACACAATTATTAATATCTTATATACGCACTATACACAATTTTATCGACATTAAAATTCGGAATTCGCTTCCGCGGGATTCGAACCTACCTAACCAAGATATATAACGCAGTTTGTCTTAGCAACTAACCGCCGCGGCTATCGAGAGCCACGCGAACGAAGAAGTTAATTTCACTGATCAACACTGACCAAGCTACGAACTGCGCATGTTCGGAATTTTAGAAAAAGTCTACGATTCTTTCGTTGACTGCTGTCTTAGCTACTCTCTTTTATGTTTCAAACTTTCGAACCTCAATTATTACAATGTTGTAAAACTTTTTATAGAAATTTGACAATCTTTAAACAATATTATTAAAAACTGTTCAATATAGATTAACAAACTGCTCTTTCTATACACGTTTGTCAATAATTTCTTGACTCTGTTTTACTTTTTCGGTAAAGTTTATGCTTCATTACTAAAAAGTGTATGAAACGTTTAAAAATTTGTGCCCCGTCCAAAAGTGAAATACTACCCTGGCGGATTCGATTTGCGTAATGTCTACTTAACTAAGCGGACTTTAGGTAGACATTAGGTAGACATGTAAAAAAACGTATAAAAAAGCTATTAATCGACTTATTATGATAAAAAAAAGTTGATAAAAGGGTAAATGAATGTTTATAGAGTAAATTCGTACAAAATTTGTAATTAATAAAGCAATAAATAATTAATAATGAATGGAAATGTGCGCGAGGTACCTGATCAGTTCAGCTGTACAATTATTTTCGTGCTATTTTCATGAAAAGAATATAAATTAACTGCAAAAACAATTGATATTTATAAAAAAGTGTAAAATTGATTTAATTTGAGTGTTTGCAATACGAATTATTAAATAATAAATAAGTTTTTATCAAATGTGACTAGTGTTGTGAAAACCTGTGAAAACTAATGAGTTACTACATTACCGATCGCATATGAGAGATGGCGCCACCAGTTTTTCAATACAGTGCGAGCATGTTTTCTTCCAAGCTTTTGCTTTGAAAGAAAATAAAAAATGAATTTTAAAATGCAGAATAAAGTTATACAAATAATTGTTGATTTCATAATTGTTTCTCGTCCAAAATTACGGACATGATTGCAGCTTTTTTGTTACACTCATCGAGAACTTTTTATTATCATATGCGATCGGTAATGTAGTAACTCATTAGTTTTCACAGGTTTTCACAACACTAGTCACATTTGATAAAAACTTATTTATTATTTAATAATTCGTATTGCAAACACTCAAATTAAATCAATTTTACACTTTTTTATAAATATCAATTGTTTTTGCAGTTAATTTATATTCTTTTCATGAAAATAGCACGAAAATAATTGTACAGCTGAACTGATCAGGTACCTCGCGCACATTTCCATTCATTATTAATTATTTATTGCTTTATTAATTACAAATTTTGTACGAATTTACTCTATAAACATTCATTTACCCTTTTATCAACTTTTTTTTATCATAATAAGTCGATTAATAGCTTTTTTATACGTTTTTTTACATGTCTACCTAATGTCTACCTAAAGTCCGCTTAGTTAAGTAGACATTACGCAAATCGAATCCGCCAGGGTAGTTTACGAAAAAGATTTGATGTATGATTTGATATAAGAAAATTTCTGGTTAAGGATTGAGCAATGAATTTTGGTATTTTTGGTAACACGAAGGAAATTTACATAAGAAATTGAAGGAAAAAATGTGACCAGAAAAAATTGTAGGATTTCACATAGGAATTTACATAATTTATTACTTAAGTAGACGTTTATAAGAATTTACATCGAATCCCACTTCAAACTACATGAGAATTTTCAGTAGGGAAGTACCACAATACACTTGGGCGCATTTTCTAATATTGTACTTCACTATTATTCACATTTAAGTGTTGTATTATATTCTGATGTCCTGATGAAGAAATTCCATACTTGCATTCAGAGTAATTTCGAGATATATTGAGTACTTTTCATCGCTAATTTTTCCACAAGCTTTATTAACAATTGTTTACAATGTCCATTTTTTCGTATCGAATGCAGTGATATAAAGAAAATTCATTTTGCATAAAAATATCGACTACCACTTTTCTTCATCAGGACGGCAGTAATATCAGAGTATCACAGCAACCTAATGCGTACTTGGAACTTTCATAGTACATGCATTACTGTGCATATCGCTGAATCACAGTAGTTTCGGTATTGTACGTATTCCATTACGTTTTTGGACGCTCATTTTACACAGGAAAATATTACAAATATATCAGATATATTAAATAATATAAATATATTTAAATTATTCACTTAAATATGTTATATATATATAGCACAGAAATAATTTTTTTATAAAAAAATATGTTGGAGATAAACTTTATCTCATGCATGAAAAAAGTCAAATTTTTACTACACCTTTCAATCCACAGTATACTAACAATTTTGGTTTATTGCAAGGTAGACCAAAATGGCTTTACCAGACCCGGCTTCATGGCAAACAGCCAGGACTGCAATGGAAACGGCTTTTAAAAGCAGCTTGACTACCCCTTGGGAGCTCTGGACTCAAGCTGATCCTCTGGGCAGTGGCGTCGTTTTATTAGTGACTCTTATTTTCACTGTTTTTATCCTCTCTCTTTTAACGAGCAACTATTCACATGTAGACAGATTGTGGTCATTGTTACCAGTATTTTGGGTTGCTAATTATGCCCGTTTTTTAATTGGAACCCATACCATTGACGCTCGTGTTATGATAATGCTAGCATGTGTTATCATTTGGGGTGCTCGATTGACGTTTAACTTTTGGAGAAAGGGGGGCTATGAATTAAAAAGCGAAGATTATCGATGGGCAGTCTTGAAGGAAAAACTAATTCCTTACGGTGTTTGGCAACTATTCAATTTCTTCTTTATTGCTCTCTTCCAATGTGTCTTAATAGTTTTATTCTCTATGCCTATTGATGTTGCCTACAGAGCGAGAGGAACTCCTTTGAATCAATGTGATTATTTTGCCACCGTTTGCTTTCTTGGTTTTGTCCTAGTTGAATCTATTGCCGATCAACAACAATGGAACTTCCAAACTGAAAAACATGACATGTTAAAGAAAGGAGAACATCTTTGTGGTGAATTTGCTCATGGCTTTCTTCATTCTGGTTTGTTCAAATACTCCCGTCATCCAAATTTCTTCAGTGAAATAAGTATTTGGTGGGCTTTTTACTTATTTTCCTATGCTGCTTCTGAATATATTATCAACTGGACAATTGCTGGTCCCATTCTGCTCACTCTCCTTTTTCAAGGCTCTACTAATTTCACTGAACAAATCTCCTTATCAAAATATCCAACTTATGCTCTTTACCAAAAATCCACTTCCAAACTCATTCCCATGTGGCCAGGAGAACCCCTCCTAAATCATGAGACAAATCTGAAGCAATTAATCAAAAATAATAAAGAAAAATATGTTTCGAAGAAGACCATTGGTTCTTCCAAATCAACCAAGGACCAAAAGAAAACCAGCCCCAAATCAAAATAATTTAGTTCAACAAGTTGCAATTGATCCCTCGTGATTCTCCTTGTTTTGATTCATTTATTTATCATTCTTCTCGCCGTATATTCTTAGTCCAATAATATAATCAACTCTTTGACTCGTTTTTATAATATCAGATTTATCTAAATGAAAGCTAAAAGAAGTAATACATCGCTTAACAGATAAAATGTTGTTGTTCATAAGTTGATCCATATGAAAATTTTAGACAAGCAGATAATAAAGGATGTAACAATAACATTTGTGGTTTAAGCACGTTTATATCCACAGAATTGCAGACCCCTAGAAAAAATAATTAATTAACATTTAAATAATTAAAATAACATTATTAATTGTACTTTCTAGAAGATAAGATAATAATTTTCAAGAAAAAGATTTGTAAACATGCAAAATTTATTTGTTTATACAATTTTCATTGTATAAAATTTTATACAATGATAAATATCGCTTCTACAGAATTTTTTAAAAATGATTTGATTTCAATGTAATATGGATTATTTTCTTCAGAAAATGATTCTCTACAACTTCACTGTAGAGATTTTTATAAACAAGCAAGCCGTTTGGCAAATACAGCTATTTGTTTGAAAAAATTCAAATTTTTTTGTTAAAGAAATAGCTGTATTTCTAAACGGCTTGCTTGTTTAAAAATCCCCACGGTGAAGTTGTACAGAATAATTTTCTGAAGAAAATAAGCCATTTCATTGAAATCGAATCATTTTTAAAAAATTCTGTAGAAGCGATATAACAAAAAAATGTTATACAATGAAAATTGTATAAACAAATAAATTTTGCAGGTTTTAAATTTTTTTCTTGAAAATTAATTATTTTTTTCAAGAGGTCTGCATTTCCGTGGATAAACGTCCTTAAGTTGCATTACACTACATATACACGGAAAAAATAAGTCAGCAAAACTTTCATAAACTAGTATTTCACTTTTGGACGGGAACGAAAGTTGTTCAAAAAGTATAGACACAGTTTATTAAGAAAACAAAACTAATTATAAAAATGTGAACTGTGTATACGAGCCGATGCTCAATGTGCTCTGATGTTTCAGAATCAGTTTATCAAACTTTCATAAACTCTCAGCTAGAACTTAAGTACGAGTACCAAAGATTTCGTAACACTTATATGCATAAAAATTCGACGACAGTCAACCAAAATAATACTTGTAAACTCACAAAAAATTTAGAAAAATTAAAAAAAATTTCACATTCAGGGGTATTTTTTTACTTAATTTGTACATCACTTGAAACACAATTATTAATATCTTATATACGCACTATACACAATTTTATCGACATTAAAATTCGGAATTCGCTTCCGCGGGATTCGAACCTACCTACCTACCTACCTAAGATATATAACGCATGTTCGGAATTTTAGAAAAAGTCTACGATTCTTTCGTTGACTGCTGTCTTAACTACTCTCTTCTGTGTTTCAAACTTTCGAACCTCAATTATTACAATTTTGTAAAACTTTTTATAGAAATTTGACAATCTTTAAACAATATTATTAAAAACTGTTCAATATAGATTAACAAACTGCTCTTTCTATACACGTTTGTCAATAATTTCTTGCCTCTGTTTCACTTTTTTGGTAAAGTTTATGCTTCATTACTAAAAAGTGTATGAAACGTTTAAAAATTTGTGCCCGTCCAAAAGTGATAGAAAAAGTTAGGAAATTTTATAGAACAAGAATGAAAAAAGATGAAAATTGAGATGACTGGGGAGAGTCATTGAAGGTACCTTCGAAAAAAGTTTGAAGAAATTCCTGCAGTTTTTTTATACAGAAATCATTTTTCTTAATTCATTTGCAAGCATGATTTTCTGCAAGTTGTATCGTACAATCAAAATATGTTTAGAAAATTTTATTTATGAATTTTTTACAAATATAAACATCTTTGTAAGTCTGGATAATATCTAAGATATTATCCTACTCCACAACTAGACACTAGGTTTCATCAGAGCTATATTTTACAATGAAACCTAAAGTTTAGGAAATTCTCGCTGGAATGCTTTCCTTAACTGAATTCATGACTTCTGGTGGTGAAGGTGCAATACATATGACAAAAGGTTCGTATAGTCTTATAAAAATATTCTTGTTCACTTACTTTGAAGTTAATTGAATCAAAAAGAGTGTCGGGTTAAGTATCTTCATTTGAAATTTTCAGAGATAATAAAATGAAACGTACTTTTTTATAGGCTCATCTCTGTATATAGTCTGAATGAGTATTAAACATTTACTTTTAAGTAAAACATAGGTAATAAATTAAATTTATTTCTTTCTATGTTCACTGTAAATTTGTTCATTTTTCCACCTGAAAATAAACAGCAAAATAATAAACAAAAAAATTGTAGCTAAAAAGGCAAGTTTTTAAATGGCATTAGTATTCTATTAATATTTTTTTAAGTAAAATTGTTATACTCAAAACTCTTAATTAATTTGTGCACCCCATCCTTTCTATTAAAAAATCGAAAAATTTGTCTTTTTACCTGCATAATTAAACACTAATATAATAATTCGTCAAACATAAAATTTATTTTAAAAATGAAAATTAAAACAAAATCTAATAATTTTAAAAACGTGTTAAGTTGTATTTTTTAGGCATTTGGAAAGATAGATTTTTAACATCAATAACTTCGTAATACTTTATAATGAAAGGTTGAGTAATATAGATCAATTTATTCGTTTTCAAATATTCTCCAATTTGTTAATAATAATTTGAAAGTTACATAAAGATTTTTTAATAAATAATGCAAAAAGGCTAAAGATAAATATCTATCGGTGTCAATATATTTTAATTACTTAAAGATAATAATCGGCTAAATTGCATTAAATAATTTAATTTAACAATTAAATACATACGTCTGTCGATGAATTAACCTTAGACTAACGTACCATGAAGAGAAATTTAATAATTCGCTTTAATAACGAAAGTTAACTTCAATTTTGATTTATTGAAACACTGAATCCACATTGTAAACTTCTATGAATCACAGAAAAATTTACATTTTTCAAATAAAATTAAAACACAAAATTAATCCGAAAAATATTAAATCTCATAAAAATCCCAAAATTCAGAACTCCAAGTCCAAATCTAAGAAACTTTTCTTAAATAAAAGTCTTAAAATTTCTTACAAAAATTAATATTAACAAAGTTTCCAGGATTAGTGCTTTTATGACGTTGACAAAACTTGAAATTATAAAATGTCACAAATCATATCTGTAGTCAATATTATTATATATTATTTTTCTTCTTAATTTTTCATTTGCAGATCTTTCATTTTTTCAATGAAGTCTGCTCTTGTATTACTTGGGCTTCTACAATTGACCGTAATTGCCTTAGCTGGCTGGAAATTGGAGTGGAACGATGAATTCAATGGGAACTATTTGGATTCTTCTAAATGGGACATCGAAGTAAATTGTTGGGGTGGTGGAAATCTTGAGAAGCAGTGTTACACATCACGCCGGGAAAATGTTTTCGTTTCTGGTGGATCCTTACATTTAAGACCAGTACGTGGAACTTATCAAGGATCAAACCAAGGTTGTACTTTAAACAATGAAAACTCTTGCACATGGACTCAACCAGCTACTTCTGGCCGCGTCAGAACATTGAAAGCTTTCAATGGATCCTGGAAATATGGCAGATTTGAAGCGAGAGCCAAATTACCTAAAGGAAATTTCTTGTGGCCTGCTTTTTGGATGTTACCGACGGACAACATTTATGGGGGTTGGGCTGCATCTGGAGAATTTGATATCATGGAGTCCCGTGGACAAAATCCCACCAAAGTTTCTTCTGCTCTTCATTTTGGTGGTCAATGGCCCAACAACAAATTCACTAGTTCCGGTGACAAGGATTTCGGCTTTGATTTTACTGCCGATTTCCATATCTTCGCTATGGAATGGAATTCTAAAGATATTAAATTTTATGTTGATAATAAGCTGACCTGGACTCAAAGTTTGGAAAAATCGTATGGAAGCATTTATCCCAGAAATGGAGCCCCCTTTGATCAGAAATTCCACATTTTATTAAATGTTGCTATTGCTGGAGGATTCTTCGACCCTGCCAAATACGGACAATTCGACATCAATACTGCCGGTCCCACATGGACTCAAGCCTACCAAATCGACTATGTCCGTGTATACAAATGGGTTTGAAAATTGTATTTCAATAGAAAAATCAAATTTTACAAAATAAATTAAATGTTATAAAATTAATTAAAACAAAATTATTTAAATATTTCGACGCTTCCAGTCGGGAAACTGATATTTTAGTTTTCAATTCAATGTAAATCTATCTCAAGAACAAGGTTTAAAATTAAGGCAATAGGCTATATTTTCTATTTGCTACTTTGAACATTATTGAATTTCTCAAAAAACTGTTAATTGAAAGTTACCAAGAATCATATTGAATTATATAATATATATTAATTTAAATAAAATAACAATTAATAATCAATCATTAAAAAATACTTTCAGGAAGATTTATTTTAGTTGTCATTTTCTTGCATTGGATTTTGAGGTAGCATTATTTTTAATTGACTGAAGAATGATTAAGAATTGTCTTGCGTAAATTTTCAGGTTAACTGCATCTTGTAATTATTTTTGAAATAGATTTATATTGAATTGACATCTGAAAAAGCATTTTCCCGATGAGAAGCGTCGATTTATTTTGGGGTTATTTAGTAAATTTGAAGTAAAAAATAAAGATTTAATAAATGAAATTAGTTTAATAGAAATTTATACGACGTCTTTTATAATTTAGAATTAATTTCTCTTTAAATAAATTTATTAATTCATTATAAATTTTTTTTAAATTATTTAAAATTAATTTTTTATTGTATAAACAATATAATTACTTAACCCCTTCGCAGTGTAGCAAAAATAAAGCTTCAGTGCCCCGTATGTGTGGGAAAAAAAATTTTTTTTTTTAAAATTGATATTAAAAAAAAACCCGAAAATCTAAGAATACCCATTGACAAGTTTATTGTATTGTTAAAATAATGAAGTAAACGATTATTAAAATAATGAAGTAAACTATCGATAATTTATCATATTTTGTGTCTACTTATTTTTTTTGAGATGCCGCTATAGCGGTCATGCACACTGGTGGCACGACATTTTTATGCCTCTATAGAGGTCAATAACAGTGAAGGGGTTAATACTAGTTTTAATTATGAATGTTTTCAATATGCGCATTTTCTTGTGCGAGTACCTCATATGATAAAATATTTAATTCTAACCTAACTCCGCTTGGTTGGTTTACGTTGTCCCTACTTTAATTTTAAAAATAAAGTTACTAAATTTTTACTAGAGTAGGGTGCGGTAGTTGACGAGAAATATGACAAATGGCAAGTGGGGACAATGGAAACCAACCGCTTCCCCAAGCTTAATTTTCAATTACTGACATGTCCTGTGACTTTTAACTATGACTTACATAAGGCGTTTTCGGTAGATGCTCCAGGAATACTCCGGAGCATTTTATGGTCCAATCACCTATAAATTCCATTGGATCCAGTCAATCAAAAAATGCTCCAGAGCACTCCGGAGCATCTGTCGAAAACGCCCCATAGTTTACTTTTTTTGAGCCTGAATGTATAGAGGACACTTTTGTCGTAGATATTAATAAAGAGATTATTTTGGGCAATAAGGTATTTTATTTGGTAAGTATGTGGTTTGTAGTGTTAATAGTATTCTAATAATATAAACGCAGTGGTCCAACAGCGAAGGTTATTCATTAGATCACGTGATTAATTAATAAGAAACCAGGAATAGAATCAATTTTACACTTATATCGATTTTTTGCTAGTCTGAAAAATTCCTGGTTACATTATACTAACAGAAGAGACCGTGATGGCCGGTTAGGGAAAGGCACACTAATTTTTGACAGAAATTCGCCAGTAATTAAATTAATTACTATAGGCAGAGACATAATCTCTTAGATCGATGTTGTTGGCGTTTCTATAAATACCCAGTTGGGTCCATTGCAGTTTTTATCTGTTTAGGTTCCACCCAGAATTTGGATTCCCTTTTCTTTTTGGGACTAATTAATGCATTGTTTCAATTTAAGTGGATCTTTTGGCTAATCATACTGGAGAGTTGAGGGCAAAATTCAAGGTTGTAGACAGCGAGATAAAAGAAAGAAAGAAGTTCTTGTCAATAAAGAATTATGATCGAACTTCACTGTAAGTTCGTTTAAATTAATTATTCGACTGATTGTGAGAAAAATTGCGAACGATTAGCGACTTATCAATCGGGTTCAATTGTAATAATACAATTGAGAACAATGGAAATTTATTTCTTATTTTTAATCGATTTCAATTGATTTTTTCTATAAAAGGGAGACGATTATAAATTTTTATTTACTCCAATATTTAACTTTAATTATTTCTTATTAGAACATTTTTCCTTTTATATATGTGACGCGCTCTGAAGAAAGTGATCTAAAAACCAAGCGATTTGTAGGTTATGTTTACGATAGTTTTACGTTGATTAAAAGTGCGCCTTTTTTTAATTAAAATAAAAATCAGTTCTTAATTAATATTTTGTAAGTAATGAACACTTAAACATTAATAATAAGAATAATTTGTATAAAAAATTGATCCACTTTGTGTATTTTCAATTAAAAATTTCAAAACATAACCTATAATATTTTGCTTCTAAAGTCACTTTCTTCAGAGCCACTGACATTTACATACATTCTAGAACGGTATTAAGTATTGTTAGTTACACAGAGCAGGAGAAGTTGTGAAGTAACATATGAAGCTGACTATACTGAGAGAATAAGCAATCCCCAAATCTATTCTGCTCTGTGAACTGCGAAAACACATAGCAGTGTATCTTGCAGTAGTATATACACTTCAGTGTGTAGAGCGCGTCACACGTAAACAATATTCAGGAAAAATAAACATAATGTTCCAATCTTTAATTTTAAATATGTAGGTATATATTAAAACTTTATTTGTAGTTTTTTTACATAATTATGTTAAAACATTATTAAGTAAAGCGAATTATTTTTAACCTAAACCAGAAGACAAAATTAGATGCTTTAATGAAAGATAGGTATACCTATTATTAAAAATTTTCACAAAATATTAAAGTTTTGGAGACTATTTTTAAAAAATTGCAAACATTTAAAAATTTCTCTAAAAAAGACAATTAATCTATAAAAGTCATGCTGGAGACATTGCAAAAAGGCTTCTTAAATGTAACAAATTTAGCTTCTACATACATTTCACTTAGAGAAATTAATTAAAAATTGTATTCTTATTATTATTATGGAATTTTTATAACATTTAAAAAAAACATTAAGGAAATGAATAACTATTCAAATTCGACAGGTGTGCATGATCAATTTCAAAATAATCACCCACAGATGAAAACTATATCAGAATAACAAAATTATTAAAATCTCTTCTCATTCCACAAAAGAATTAATGACAAAAAATATCATAAAATAATATATTTTATGACAGAATTTCAATAAATAGAATTTTCCTTTAGTTAAATTATCATTTTTTCGAATTATTATATTTGACAGAATTTCTATTTAAATGAATTTTCATTCAATAACTAACTTTCTTTTTCTTTCTTACATAATTGATGTTTTTTTCCAGTTGTTAATTATACAATTTATAACTTTTAATTTCTATCCTATAAATGTATGTCATTTTAAAATTTGGTTCTGATAAAATTATGAAAAATTGAGAATTCTGCTAAATGAAAATTCAGTTAAATTAGAATTCATTTAAATAAAAATGAATTAAGAAAGAAGATTTATTGATCAAGAGAATATGAAATAAAAAATTGTAACAAATGAAAGTTCGACTAAATAAAAATTCTGTAACATGAGGATTCTAACTAATTTTTAGGGCTTATTCATGTGTCTCCAATAAACGCAAGTAAAAAAAAAGTTTACGAAGCCCTACTTTGTTATAGTAAATTTTTTTTAATGTTCGAGTACAATCTGCAATACACGAAAAGAATATTTTTAGTTTACAAAAATCGTAAATTATTGACCCTTCAAAAGGATATTTAAAAAAAATTAATTCAACGCCCATGCATTTAATTGCGGTATACCGTGGATGTACCAGTTACCGTCCATGTCCCAGTTTCCGTCCATTTTACAAATATCTCGTATAGTAATTTAAATTATTTTTTAACAATAATTTATTCCTTTTGGCACGCAATCGACTTATTAGTTTAAGTAAACAAATAAAAGAAAATAATTTTTTTATAAATGTTATTTTGAAAATTAAACTGGACGAAAACTAGGTCTTAGGTGGACGGTAACTGGGACATCCACGGTAATTAGAAGGTGATGGTAAATTTTTGCAGTCACGTCTCCATGACTTCAATTGTTCACTTGCTTTATTAACTTTATTGATGTGTAATATATTACCATACTGTAATACAAGAAAGTATACTGTCTTCTACAAGAGATCGCAGTTTAACATACATAGAGGGCACGTCATAAAAAATCCACTGCAAACTAGTTTTATATGTCCCATTCACAAATTAAAAAAAGAAAAACTATTAATAAGAGTTTACAATAAAAAATATTTCAAATATGTCATGAAAAATTAATGTGAAGTTAAGAAGAATTATTATTTAAAAAATAATGATAAATACAGTAGGTTACCATTCCAAAGGTATTTATGTTTATAGTGATATAAAAAATTTCTCACCAAATTATTATCTCTTTACAATTGTTTAATTACAGAAAGTTAAATAATTATTTTTATTAAAAAACAATTAATGTTTCTGATCGTATGTTTTTCAAAACAAGAAAAATTATATTTACAAATTTTGAAAATATTCTTAGTTCCAACTTCAATAAGATGAAACACCGATATAGGTAAACCGTAGTAATTTAAAACATTTTTTAAAAAATAATTTAACTCGATTATAAAATTAGGAGCTTAGAAAACATTGTTTAAGAAAATTTTTTAAAAATTAAATTTTATATCCAATAAATTGAAAAAAAAAATGTTGAGAAAAAATTTTCTGATACATTCTTAATTAATGATTAATTCATACAAGGATTTTCAATTTCTTAAATAGCTTAATATTGCAAGTGCCTTGAGGTTCACACTACACAATCACTACAGTAAAGAAATCATTCACAATGAATGATGAATCAAATCTTAAAAAAATAATCTAGAAATCAATGAATCTCATGTAGAATTATAAACCACATAACAAGAATATTTCTCAAATAATAATAATTAGTATAAAATAAAAGTGCGCATGTGTGAGCCTCACAGCGAATAGGACCGAAATATTTTTAATTACATAACTTCCTCCCTATTCTAAGAAATTGAGATGCTGTTACCTCGCGCATGACAATTATACACAACTTCAATTATTCATTAAACTACAATTGTCCCTAAACGCACACTCATAACTGGCCAGCTTCTAATTTAGAAAATGACCGGATAGCAGTACTATATCAAGTCGCGATATAATAATAATAATAATAATAATAATAATAATAATAGTAATAATAATAGTTACATTCTTCCTCCACTACAAAAAATTTTCGAAAGGACAAAAAATGTGTACAACTAATAAACTGATGGTCCTTATTGATGTTTTGTGTTTTTCGGCATCGGACATTTTAAGTCGATTTTAGTGTAACCTAACGCTTCTCAAACGCATATTTTCATACAAAAACGTTGCTGTTTCACGATGTTACCCTGAAAAAGAAAAGTTATGTTTTTAATTTATATAAAAATCACTAATTTTACTTACTAATCTCACAATTACAAATTGTGACGCGTTGCGAATAAGGGTACCTTAGAAGCAAATTAATTATAGGTTATGTTAAAGACTGTTTCACCTTAATAAAAACTTATAATTTACCTATAATTTTTTGCTTATAAGGTCCCTTTCTTCGTGACACATCATATTTTACAAAAAACTTAAATATTTTTAAATATAAAATATTATGTTAATTTTAATATAATATGCTGTCGGTTACAATAGCAAATTAGCAATATTGGAAATTTTTTTAAGTTATATAAATTTGTTTACATTTACTTTTGTGATACTCGAATGAAACACTTAAAAATCTGAATTATTTTAAATTAAACGATAAAGTATCATTATATTTTGCTAAATTATATACAAAGTAACATTTATGTACATTATTAGAACAAAATATTGATTTGCCAATTAGTTTTTAAAGTGAAAAAAATGCTTAAATTTCATTTAAAACTCTTAAAGAAGTTAATATTCTTAACGTTTTTATTTTTGCGGCGTGTAAAATATCACTTCAACTACTATTGAAATATCTAATAGACATATTTTGTCAAAAAAAATTTTCACTATCCCATTAATGTGCCATAACTTAAATTAAAGATATGAAGGTTTGATTAAGTGATACCACTTTTGAAGGAAATTAAATTGAACGTTTTCTTATAAAAATATCTAGTACGGCGTTGGATAAAAATAAAAGTTCAATGCATTTCTAAATAGATGATAAAAAAACAAAAATTTTAAGATCTTTTTCGTTTATGTGCCTTTCATTGTATTCCTGTTGGGACAATTTAAAGATGTTAATAAAAATCCTGATTTCATTTAAATTTATACATTTTTAAAAGGCACAACAGCAATTTTACTTTAAACAGGTCAAATTATAGTGTGACCGAAACATTGCGATACTTATATTTGAACACAAAAATGTTGCTTAAGGATTTTGAATGTAATCAATCATTCAGGATATTTAAGAATATGCTGAAAATTTCAAAAGTTAAATTCTTAAAAGCCGAAATCTCCAATTAGAGGTTCAATCCTTTTGAAACTCAGAATACTTATATAATTTTATATGAAAATCACAGTGAAAATTGTCAAACTACACATTTTTATGGTAAAAACCCATAAAAATTATGGTTTTTCGCATTTATCTCAGCAGGTATGAAAAATATCAAAAAATACTTTGCATAAAAATTCTGATCTCATTGAAATGCGTTTTTTTATATTCAATGCACTTTTTACCAAAACTGAATATTTTTCGAGAAAAATGCAAATAAAACTACAAAGTTTCATGAAACCCAAAGACACTTTTTTGGGGTCTTTCCCCCTCTTTTCTCAAAATCCTGATGTGTTAAGCAAATTTGGGAGCCGGAACATTATAAGGGGAAAAGGACACTAAGTCCTTTTAATTTAGGTTACTTCTAGGGGAGATGTATGCAGGTTGAGACGGGGGGTTTTTTTTGGGAAAATTTTTAAATTATAAAAATTTAACAAAAAGTTTTATTTGTCGTTCAAAAAGTATTGATCAGAGCATCAACATTGCCTAAGAAAATAGTAATTATTTTTAAAAATACAAAATTTAATATAATATCAACTGTCTCAACGTTCATACATCTCCCCTATCCCTTTCAAAATAAACGAAAAAAATTTTTAGACGTTATAAAGTAAACTACCTTCTTAAATTGTGAGAATTTACAAAACCAATTTATTTTCTTTTACTATCCATTATTACAAATATTGATACAGTACAATTTCGGTAAGTGTCGGATGCCTTTCTCCTACTTTTTGAGTGCGCATCAAAAACCAGCGCCGTATAAAAACGTTTTCAAATATGGACATTAATAAAATAAAAATAATGTTTTTAATTATGAAATAATTGAAATAATTGGTAAATTGAATTTTAATCTAATTATATATTAAATTATTATTTAATCTTTTATATCCGAGAAGAATTATACATTATAGATTAATAAGCATTAGAAGACACCGTGATACGGCACTGTCTGCCGTCCCACCACAACTCAAGGGGCAATCCGACACTTATCAAATGTTGTGGTCCCGACCACCCGACACTTACCGAAATTGTACTGTAGATCATTTAATAAAACTAAGTACAACCAATAGTTTGTGGAAAACATACTGGTAACATTGTTAGTTTCATTAGGTAACCATTAAATCTTTATTGTCCGGTTAAAAATTTAATTAAAATAGTTTGTAATGTCTTTATTGAGTAACAGGTGTTTCTTTAAAACTTCTCGTTTTACTTACAGTTTCAAACACAATTATCAGTCGACGTAAAAAACAGTTTGAAAAATATGATCTTCTCTTATTGATATCTTGACAAATAATAAATAGTATAACGATCTAATTTTCATTTGCTCCCAGATTTTGCTAGACGAATTATATGAAAAGCCATCTATATAAAATTTAATGAGATGTTTCTTGTTATCTCTAGTTGTGTAAGTGAGGAAAGGAAATAGAAAATAAATACACAAATTATAATTTTAACAGGTTTAATGTATTTAAGGAAAATTAATTAATGAAGAATATGAACATAATTAAAAAGATAAAAAAAATTCAGCAATTGAAAGAAATGTAAGAGAATAAATTATTACAATAAAAACTGAAAACAAAACTATATATAAACTGAATTTATAATTTGAAAAGGAAAAAAAGTAACTTAAAACAGGTTAATACGTGAACTTTATAAAATTTAGATAAAGATTTTAATTTCGGCTAGATTCACTTCTTCGCCATGGTCTTAATCGCGGTGGCGGTACCATTCCACTATAATCCATAGCCGGATTGTATTTTGACACCTTAAATCGGCATTTCCTATAAAAGTAATATTAATAAGTATAAGTAAATTTTTAAATATCCTTCACCGAATTTATGCTTTTTCTAAAAACCTTACATCTGATTTTCCAGCCCCAAAGTTGCACAGATCTAACGTGCCACTTTTCAAACACCTACAATTTAATCATGTAAATAACTAAATACTTTTAAAAATCTTCGTTTCATTTTAAAAAGAAGATTCGAAGCTTACTAGATGTGAACTTTTTTTTTTATAAAAGTTAGCAATTTGTTCGATATTTATAATGAGTCCTAACTCGATCTTTAAGGGAGGATCCCAATGTGACAGGTCAAAAAAATAAATTTTTTCTTTTTTGCATTTTTTTATAGTTTAGGGTATTAAAATAAATATTCCATGGGTGGTTTAGGCGAAATGTCCCTGGTTTACTAGAAATAACGAATCTAAGTAGAGGTTGTAAGTGCAAGCGCTACGGACTCTCTAACAAGTAAACCTACGAAAGTGTAAATTACAACTATAATGAAACTTGGCATACATGTATTACTCGGAAATATAATAGAAACGTATTTTTTATAGCTGCTATCATCCACTTTAATGGGAAAGTTTTTTACATTCTCATTAAAATAAGAAACTATTATTTATTAAACATTTGATAAAACTTTAAACGCATTTTTCTCAAAACAACATTTTTACGCCTGGTGCAAGTGATTTTTCAAAAACAAACTGAGGGTATCCGCTTGAAAACATAACACGACATTTAACACAACAGTGGCTATCACCCTCAATCGTCTTAAAATTTTAATTTTAACCCTCGGAGCACATACTGGGTCACACAGACCCTGTCATTAATTTCAATGAAGTGTAATTTGAAAAGTCGGCAATACAACACGAACCTAAGGCCATATAGTGGTAACTAACTAATAAGGAATAATAAGTAACATGATAATCCAAAGAAAATAATAAAATACTAGTAAATATGTTATTAAAAAAGTATAGTTTTAAAAAGTTGTGTCGAAAATCACATTTTTATCGTCTTAAAAGTTACCTTCGTTAAACTACAAAATAAATACCTTTTTTAAAAAATAAAATAAGGTGGTATTTTTTCCCTTATTCTAACACACTTCGAGAATATAAATCCCAATTTTTAGCTTAAAATATTAAAAATTACAAAAGTTACATTTTTTTTTAAATTCAATTTTTTCTTTTTAATTAGTTAACTTCACGAATTTTTTTTCAATATGCAAATAATTTAATAATATTTCTAAACTGCATATTCTTATATTTTACAAGGTTCAATGAATAAAAAAATATTTTTTTTGTGTTGATCAGTCCAACAGTTCAAAAATGGGGGAGTTTTGTAAAGTAAACAGGGTCACAGCGACCCAGACTGTGCTACTTGTTCGAAAAAAGAGGTGTGTGCTCCGAGGGTTAACTGATTATTTTGACCTATTAATTACGAAAAAAGGGTAATTTTTTTCACTTTTGCAAATATTTACTCTACTTTGTTATTTTTCGGTGAAATTTAAAAATCGAGGTACGGGCGATAGCGAAGACATCATAGATAGAAAATATATTTGAATTTTCTGTTTCCGATAACCAGAAAGGCCGGAATCACCAGCGCTAGCATAAAAATTTTGTTTTTTCATTGCTTCTATTTTAATGTAAGAAATAATAAAATAAAATATTTTTTTTCTTCTTTAGGAATGTATATTTCAAGCAAATAAAAATTTGCCTTATTCCATTTAATATCTTTGGAAAAAAAATTCTTGAAAATGTGCTTTTTTAAAGGAACTCATATTGGGATCCTCCTTTAACGGGTTATATACCTTTTCATGGGTCAAAAAAACCATTTTTTTCATTGCATATATCAAAAGTACATATTTTCGAGAATTTTTTCCAAAAATTTCTTTAAAATCGGAGCATTAGAACCAAAGTTATGGCTGTTTTAATCCGCTACTTCTCATAGAAGAGTATATTATACGCTTGAAACTTTAAAGGCTATTATCTTGGAATCGTGATTTTTGAGAACTACTCTTACGTTCAAATTTGTTATTGTAAATATCTCGAAAAATATTAAAAATTTCAAATTCAAAATTTGTACACTTATTTAGCACCACTATCACTACAATTTACCGAATTTTGAGAAAAATCCGAGACATGACCCCGTATTCTCATATGAAATGCCTCACATACAAAAGCTAGTGCGTGAACGAAAGAAATTAAATTTGAACCAAAATTAATATTTTTTTTGGTCAAAGAACCAAATTTTGATTTCTAGAAAAAATGTCTTTTTTTCAAAATCCTTCATTCACGCACAAAGTAATATAATATACCAACGAAATTTCCACTGTTTTTTAATTTTAGTTAAACTCTGTCTGACTTATCGCAGTCACCGCAAGCAGCTATCAAAAGAAGGTGTTTTAGTGCAAGGTCTAGTTTCCACAATTATTAATATTTTTTAATAAAAATTTATATAAACAAGTACATCGAAATATGTAGTATTCGGTAAAATAAAGTTCGTTTTAAAAAAATTTTAAATAACGGCTAACAAATTTTTTGAAAATTTCTTATTTTTGACGCGCATAAAGGTATATAACCCCTTAATTAATAAAAGTACTTATATGTTAAATGTCTTTTTACGTCTGAAATTTAATACAGCTTCTACTGATTCTTGAAAAAATCAATCCAGCTTTATTATTTGCCAAGATATGAATAAGAAAAGAGAAGAATTTTCTGTAAAAAATTTTATTTACTAGTACTTTACAATTACCACACAGTACTCTAGTTACTCAGCTATAGAAGTGTTTTTAAAAATTAGTTAAAGTTAATTGAGTTTTAAATGTATTAGGTATTTTAACCCTTCGCCTGTCCAGTTGACCGTTTTCGACAATTCGGTCGCCTGGTGGGGAATAAGGGAATTCTATAGCACTGAAGTAGGGATATCCCAGAACAGGCAGAGGGTTAATTTTAATTCTTAATTATTCGTCGATAATCAAAAATTTCATAAGTCGATTTATTTTATGACGGTAAATATTTTTATAAGACCTATTACCGATATTTTGATGTTAAATACTTAAATTAAATTAAATTTTTCTTTTAGATTCTTTTCGAACTCCTGAAAAAAGTGAATCTCCTTCACTTTCATGGTGGAGTATAGTCTTGACTGCTAATAAAGAAATTAGAATAAAAATATTTACTTTCATTCAAAAATCCGCTTTCAATTTCAGTGTTACCAATTAATGCTCAGAAATTTTTTCCATGGTGTCTACCTTAAGGTATCACATCGGTAAAACCGTTTTCTATAGATTTTCTTGAAAATTTTACCATATGTTCTTATTATCATTCTTGACAAATTTGCAAAATATGAAGAATTTTCGCCGTACGAAACCAGAGATATTAGCAATCAAAGTTGCTTATTTTGCATGGGAGACGGGACTAATGTATGGGGGAGAAGTACATTTTCATAAATATCATCAGAAGTTTTCTATAAATTTTTTTCAAAAACTAATGTTGAATTCACGAATAAATTTGGAACTAAAATATACAAAAAAATTTATAATTTACCGTGCCGTTTATTTGTAATTATAAATTAAAAATTCTATTTCATGACGTCATTTGCAATATATAGCACACCCGCCACTTTGATGTGGCAACATCGCAGGATGGTAACATTAGTTAGAGAGAGACAGTAGTCCACAGTAGTCAAAGCGAGACTTATAGCGACGTTGTCAAACCTCCTACTCCTTCCAATCGCTGCTAGTGTGGGGTATACGTGTACGAGTGTATTTGTAGAAGTAGGTACAGTATGGGCTGAGAGTATAGGGAGTTGAGGGCGAAAGTATACTGCGGGAAGTAGTAATGCGAGCTACAAACTTTTGACTCCGATTAGTGCCGATGTGATACCTTAAAACCCATTCTCCTAAAACTAAAATCAGAATAAGCTCTTTATGTTAACATAAAATAAAGAAAATAATATAATTCTGAAGGCTATGTTCACAGTGAGCTCCTTACGTCAATATAACATGACATAAAATAACGAATATAAAAGATTTCTTAAGAATTCTATTGTATTCGTTATTTTATACTGTGTTATATTGATTGCTGAACACTTTTCTAAATGAATGTTTTTCACAATAGACATATTTTCCAATGATGATTATGCCACCCCTCCGATAAATTATTGGTGCGTGCTGTACCTTCTAAAGCAGAATTAAATTTATTCCATTATTGAGATGAATAGATTATAAATAGTACTGGAATCGCAAACGAGCTATTGATGAAGCTCCTGGACCCCGTTTTGCTCTCACCCTATAAATATAAGTAGAGTCAAAATTTGTAAAGTGTGCCAACATTTTCTAAGAGGTCGAAATTTTTTTATTAAATTCACATTTTTCTATTCAAAATAATAAATAAAAAATACTACTTGAACAGTTTTGCGAAATTTTTATATTTATACAAGTTATTGTTACAAACATTTTTTGCTTAAATATACAAAAAGTTGTTTTCCTATTAATCTAATTAATAAAACTTTCTAATTTTTGGTATACTTATTTAAAAGTAAAGCTGCTTTCGATTGATATTAATTATTTGAAAAAGTTAATTAATTTGTTAAAAATATAAACAATTTAATTAAACAAATAAAAATAATTTTAACTTCCCAATCGATTTTTCAGTTCTTTTTTGTTGCATATTACTCGTAATTTAATCTAGAATCATTTGCAAAAAGAAAAACTTGGTAACTTATACTCGGTTAATAGTAATTAAAGATTTTATTCGAGCTTGCAGCAAAATATCTTGCGTGAACGACCGCCGCGGAGCCGTTTGAAATGTTTAAATAAACGAAGATCGCAACTTGACATAACCCTTTTTTATCATTGTCATACATTGTGTCGAAAAGTATGGATAATTTTGCTGCACGCTCGAATAAAATCTTTAATTACTATTAATCGAATATAAGTTACCAAGTTTTTCTTTTAGCAAATGATTCTAGATTAAATTACGATTAATATGCAACAAAAAAGAACTGAAAATCGATTGGGAAGTTAAAATTATTTTTATTTGTTTAATTAAATTGTTTATATTTTTAACAAATTAATTAACTTTTTCAAATAATTAATATCAATCGAAAGCAGCTTTACTTTTAAATAAGTATATCAAAAATTAGAAAGTTTTATTAATTAGATTAATAGGAAAACAACTTTTTGTATATTTAAGCAAAAAATGTTTGTAACAATAACTTGTATAAATATAAAAATTTCGCAAAACTGTTCAAGTAGTATTTTTTATTTATTATTTTGAATAGAAAAATGTGAATTTAATAAAATAATTTCGACCTCTTAGAAAATGTTGGCACACTTTACAAATTTTGACTCCACTGACGTATAATTTTTGAAGACCTTCTACTTGAATGCGCTGATAAACATTTTGACACAAATAAAAAAACATCATTTTACTTTATCATCCCATACGGAAAATTCCTTTAAGGTTTCCTTACAGGTGACCTATGTAGGATCCTTTAAAAACATACAGGTGTCTCCTATGAACGTTGAAACAGGCATCCTTTCAGGTTACCTACCAGGATCCATTGGTAGATCCTACATAAGGCACTGTAAGGAATCCTTAAAGGAATTTTCAGTAGGGTAATCGACATGAAATTTCTGAGTAACATTTATAGTGGCTTTATAATTTGCAAATTTCTAACAATAAGTTTTTTGCTTTCCCGTCAAATTATATTGTATACTTTCAGATATGAAGATTGCTGTTTATTCTCCAAAAGAGGATGAGCAATCCCACAGTCTGCGGCTTAAAATAGATGCCAACTTGAGTTACAGCACCGAGTATAGAAAATAACTGGGGCAATAGAGAAAGAACGGCTTTAATTCCATCCACAAATCAAACATTACATGTAAACAGCTGTATCAAATTCTTTGAAGAAGAAAAAATCAGAATATACCCGCAGACGTAATCTTCGTTTTCATCGTAATAATAAGTTATGTACAGAAAAAATTTACTTCCACCGAGAGTTTGTCTGTCTTGTTCAGAAATTTCTTTTAAGTCTGACATATGAACAGGGTTACTCGGCATTTGTCGTAGACGATCACCAGAAAGTTGTTTCCGAAGATTTGTCCGTTCAAGAATCTTTGCCAGAATTTTGAAATTATAATATTATATAATTTCTTCATAAATCTTCAAATTGAACTAATTTAAAATTGAAAATAAATTGAATTTAAATTGAAAATTCAATTTCCGGTTCAATTATTCTTATTGAAATTTTAATTTTATAGTTTTACTTATTTATTTCTTTTATTATTTTAATGCCATTACCCAATCAGCACGAAAACTTGCAGCAAACTTGAAAGAAGCTTCACGTGCAAGATGTGCAAGTTTGGTGCAAGTAACAAAATGTCCTCTGTGGCAAGGTATTTAAGCAAATTTGCATCATACTTGCAAAAAGCTTGCAGTAAGCTTGTATAATAATAAAAAAAATTTTCGAAACAATATATTAATAAATAAACATAAAGGGCACCCTGCTTTAGAGGTTAAAAAATTTATTGCGCAGCCGTAGGAGCATCCGTTTACAACTGCGCATCGTATTAAGTTTTGCAAACTTGCAGCAAGCTTGCGCCAACGTTGCCCTACAAGCTTGCCACAAGAGAACATTTTGTTGCTTGCACCAAACTTGCTACATGTTTGCACTGCAATTTTGCACATCTTGCACGGCAAGCTTCTTGCTAGTTTTTTGCAAGTTTTCGTGCTGATTGGGTACTGAAATCTACCTTATGGAACGCATCTAAGCTCTCATTTTGGAGTATGGAAATGGGGCGATTCCTTAGGCCGCTTGAAAAGAAATCAATTTTCTAAATCGTAAGATGTTGTTACTTGAGCGTGACATTCTTTTTTATTTTTATAATTCCAATATATTCGACCCAATTTTATATTTGACGAATGTTTGGGGATAGTTTTATCTTGATTAAACGTTTATTTTTAAATATGTTAAATCAGAATCAGTTTTTATTGAATATTTTTGATCTAATGAAGACTTAAATGTAAGTGGTTTGTTTTGCACTTAAAATCCCTTTCACCGTAGAACGTCACATATGATTTTTATAACTTTTAATCACAATTGCATATTTGTTAACTTAATCCTTTCACAAAAATCTTTTGTTATAAATTAAAAATAATTTTTCTGTTCTTTAGTTGCTGTTAATTTGTTAATAACTTTTTTTATTTTTAGATTAAACAATTTCTGTCTCGATATTTTATAAAAAATATAGATAAAAGTGATATTTACAAAAATTTAGAAGTAAATGTAAAGAGCGCAAAAGTAGCAAGCAAAATTTGTTAAAGGCAAAAACCAAACTCAATTCTTCTTCCAGAATAAATAAATAATACATATTAATTGTAAAAATAACATATCAGTAATGTAATGTTAAAATTTTAATGGCGTACATACTTTTGAAACTATAAATTAAAAATGAACATCTACTGTTTACATTTATTCCAAATGACTCCATAATTAATGATTTTTAAAGTCGGACGCTATAGGTAATGTTAGTAAATGTTGGTAGTGTAAATTTATTGTATACATTTAATATGTCCTTTTAATAAAACTATTTTTATAACAATAATAAGCTGAGTAGTGATTTATAAGTAAATTTGTTTGTCTATTTTTATTTTGAATAAAAGTTTTGCTAGATAAACTTAAAAATGGAATCTTACTCACTCCTATCATAATACATAAATTTGCGTTTCAGCAGCATCCAGATTTCGAGCCTTGGATTCCAGATGTTTCAACAGAACGGCCTTGATCAAGTTTAAGTTTGCTCGCCGTGTCGCTGACAGCGCTTGAAGGTGGACCAACTCGCTGTTTAATCTCTGCTGCCATTGTCATGAAAGCTTGCTCCACATTCATTGCATTTTTTGCTGATGTTTCTAGAAATGGAATTTCAAGCTGTTCTGCGTATTCCTAAAAAATAAATACATATTATATTATACCAGAGTTGCTACGATTTCTCTCGAACAAAATCTTTTCCAGGTTTTCCAGAACTTAATATGATATATTTTTTCTTATTCCATAAAAGTTTATTATTATAATAAATAATTTTTAAAAATTAAATTACTTTTAATATTCTTTCGTTAATAACAATAAATTAATTAAAATTTCAACTTTTTTGTCAACACGTATTATTTCATTGACAAGAATATTTAATTAACATAATTTAGGATATTCAGTCGTTGTAATAAGTGCAGTTTCTAAAAATACTATTGGTTTGTATATTTTAAAAAATATAAAAATAATTAAATTACTGAAAATACAAATATTTACTATCCAAAAAGCTATTTAAAAAGTAAAAGAAGGGCAATAATAATTTTACAAGAAAATTTAAGGTAAAAGTTCAATAATGAATAATTTTAATTTGATAAAAAGTTTATTTTCTATCGCGGATATAATTTTGAATCATAACGTTTTTAAATATTAACGTTTCGGAGTCTAATTTAATATAAAAATGATAACAGATTCAAATGAAGGCGCATGAAAATCCACTAAAAATTATTAGTAAAACTTTCCATTTTAAATAATTTTATCAGATATAATTATTTTTTAAATGAATTCTTACTTTTAAAATTTGTTTGGTACCGAATTTTTGTTTAACTAAATTTTTCTCTACTCCCAACTTTTTATTTAAAAAATTTTAATTTCATCGAATAAATTCAGGGAAATGTGACTTTTAGCAAAGTAGAGTTTAGCCCTTTATAGTAGTTTCGCGGTACCAAGTCATGCAAATCTAAATAAATTATTTTAAAGATTTTAGAGGGATATAATTAGTATAGGGTCAGTTGGAGTAAATGGGGACAAAATCCCAATTTTTCACAAATTACGTAAGTTTCTTCCTTTAAAAGGTACACTGAGAAAAAAATACTGTTGAATCAAATAGTTTCATGCTATTGAATTTCCCGTTATTGATTCAATAACAATTCTATTGATTGAAAAGTATATAATATAAAACGAAAAAACGAAACTATTTAAATCAAAAGTATGGTACTGTAAAATTAATGCCATTGTGTAAATTGATGCTATAGTTAATCTATTTATATCAACATAATAATTTATTGATTCTTTGATAATTTTTATTTGAAGCATCTAAAAGGTAAATTTGAAGAAAATGTGTGTAAGTTTGAATCATATGAAAAATTGCTTACTTCTAAGAAGCGAGCTGTTGGAAACGAAAGCATATGCTTTCGTTTGAATGAATGGCGTTATTGCGGGCTGCCTATAGCAGATGCTATAAAAATCGTAACACTATGCATTTGAGACATTGATACTTAACTTATTGAAACATTCTTAACTATTGTCATCAAAATAATGACATGGCTTATTATTTCAATTAATTAAACTTTTAATTCATTAATCGTGTGCTTTTGTTTCAATAAATGGCGTCATTGCGGGCAGTTTATATAATAGATTTTTCAATGTAACTACAAAAAGATTTTTTTCCCTTTTTTTAAAATTTTATTTATATATAATATATAGTTTATAAATTCATAAAAATTTTATTTTTTGATTAAGTTAAAAATTTTAAAAACAGATACCTTATGTTTAGAATTATAAAAAAATTTTGTTACTATTTAATAATTTTTCGTATTTTTTCGAAACTTAAAACATCAATAAATAAAATATACATACTTAAATTTTTAAAAATATTTAATTATCAATTAAATTATATTAATATTAATAATATTCTTAATATATTAATAATAATAATAATATTCTTTTATCTACTTAATATGAGAAAAATCTTGAGCACGATATTTGACTGTTTGTTCATACGTTTTCTTTTTTCGCTTTCTTTAACTCATAGCTTATCCAATCCATTAAATAATTCTTTCACTACTTCTTAATTTTTTTGTAGTCAGCTTACGCAGTAGAGCTTACTATAACTTTACTGTAAGCATTATGTAAGCTTACATTATTATTAATAAATGTTAATAAATAAATTAAATTGTAAATTAAATAAATTAAATTCGTTAGCCCCAAGTCGAATGCACGCAACTTTCAGAGACATTTTGGAAAGTACGCAACTTCCACAGCCGTTTTGGAAATCACGTAACTTTGTGGTGCAGAGCAGAATGTACGTCACTCTGAGAAACGTTTGGAACTCGCTTATGTTGGTTTTTTGTGTTTTTGCAAAATACAAATTACAATATTTCTGCTCGAAACATAGCAATAAAAAGTGTAAGGCAATGTTCAATAAAATCTCAATTATTTAATCTACAAGCATCCTATGTTATGTTCCGAGCAGAAATATTGTAATTTGTATTTTGCAAAAACACAAAAAACCAACATAAGCGAGTTCCAAACGTTTCTCAGAGTTACGTACATTCTGCTCTGCACCACAAAGTTACGTGATTTCCAAAACGGCTATAGAAGTTACGTACTTTCCAAAATGTCTCTGAAAGTTGCGTGCATTCGACTTGGGGCTAACGAATTGTATATCTTACATCACAATATATATCATGAGCCAAAAGTTCTGAGCGTTCAAATGAACAAAATATTTTTTTCAATCTATAAATTATTAAAAATTATAATATCAATTTGTTCCGATATTTTACATTTTTATTGCACTTTCATTATTTTTTTTTTTTTTTGAGTTAGGGGGAGTGTGAAGATATCCCCTTTTTCAGACACCGAGGTAGTTGAAAATTTTCAATGCACAGTTTTCATTTAAAATTTTTGAAGAAATAATTTAATTTTTCTTTGATCTACCGAAAATAAAATTGTCCTTCACTGAGCATTGATCCAATGAATTTTTTTGATTTGAAATTAAGAAAAATAAACGTTTATTATTACATTAAAAGTTAGTTAATGAAATAAAATTTACCTTCGCTGTTGAAAATTCAATAACTTTTTTGGTATGCAAATCGCATTTGTTGCCGACCAAGAGCTTGTTTACATTATCACAGGCATAACGTTCAATTTCTTCGAGCCACTGTTTAACGTTATTGAATGTTTCTTGATCCGTGCAATCATATACAACAATTATACCGTGCGCACCTCGATAGTAAGAACTAGTTATTGTCCTAAATCGCTCCTGTCCCGCTGTATCCCAAATTTGTAATTTTATCGTTTTACCATCGAGTTCAATTGTCCGAATTTTAAAATCCACCCCAATAGTACTTATGTAACTCTCGGTGTAAGTGTCGTCTGCGAATCGCAAGAGAAGACATGATTTTCCAACTCCAGAATCTCCAATTAAAAGGAGTTTGAACAAATAATCGCTGAAAAAATTTAAATTATATTAAAAACATTAGTTTTTATTATACGTTTTTTATTATAATTATTTATTTTTTATTATACATAATTAATTATTATGTAACTGAATTTATGTTTATTTAATTGATAATATGGAAAACCAAAATAATTTCTGCCTTTAAAACATATGGCTTGACACCGTCCACTATTCTGATTTTTTGTCTGTACATGTAATGAAAAAAAATTTTGTCGAATTATGTTTTGATAGATTTTTTCATGCTCTTTATAATAATGAATTTTGTTTTTTAATATTTTTGAAATTTGTCCTTGGTTTTTTATATTAAAACTAAATTTGCTATTTTCACAAAAATCGATACTTTTAATTTTAAAATAAATTTTTGCAAACGAGAAATTAAATTTTTTCCAGTCCGTAAACAAATTTTCAGACTGCAATTTTTTTACATTTTCGAGATATTTTACAGCAAAAACTTTTTCTTTAATACGATAATAAGTTTTATATTAAATTAATAATAAACAGAAATTTCATTTCGAACAGAAATGCCTCTTAACAGAATTTTCATTTAACAGAATATGAAAATTCTGCAACATTCCTATACTGCCAAATGAGAATTCTATCATGTGAGATTTCTGTTAGATGAAAATTCTGCCCCATCAAAGATCTGTCCAATAGAAGGTCTGCTACTTGAAACTTCTGCTAGACCGAGATTCAGTAAAATTAAAATTCTCCTACACTCATAGTTTGTTAAATGAAAATTCTGTTGGGTGAGAATTATGTTAAGAGACATTTCTGTTGGATGAAAATTCTATCCAACTAAAAATCTGTTACCTAATACTTCTGTTTAACGGAAATTCTGTCAAATGAAATTTCTGTTACATACATTTATGTCGATTGGAATATCTGTGATATGAACTTTCGGGTATTTTAATGCATATCATGAAGTGGAACCACTTTTCATGCCGTTATATCTCCTTATACTACACCGTGAATAGAGTATTTCAATGTGACGTCATCTTTCCTATCAGGTGGTAATTTTGCGCAGATATTTGTTTTACCGACACATACACGGAAAAATTTTGGGCGACCGATTATTCCAAGTAGCCGAAAACTCACGAAGTGTCGCTTCGGTCGAAACCTCCAATTATTATTTATTAATTGTAGCCAACACTTTTATGAAAATAATTAGTCTTAGAAAATTTTCTAAAAATTTATTTTGAAAGTTTTTTGCAATTGCAATTCAAAAAATTTTGTAAAGTCTGAATTAAAATAATGTGCAAAAATAAGACTTCAATGTCTCTCCTTAATGCATCTCTCACAAAAATGTTCTTTATTACAAACATTATAATTTTCTAGGAGAGGATACTATATTTAACAAAAAAATAGAAAATGACGCAGGAACTTCTAGTCAATTTTAAGACTGATAAATATTCAACTTTGACAAGGATTAAATCCTACTTTTAGGAAAAATTATTAATTATTTTATAATCAGAGTTCAACACCGATAAAAGGATCACATTACCACTTTTATTCATATATTTTAAAGTGAATTTTTAAAGTATTCAAAGTGAATTATTTTCAATAAATATGTGACAAGAAAATTTCAATGAATTGAATTTTTATAAAAGTTAATTAAAATATTCATTAATGTCCTAATTATTAATAATAAGTAGTTTAAAATAACAAAGTTTAATAAACATTTTTTACTTCAATATATATTTTTTTGTGGTACCATTAATTAAAAATGCAGAAACTATTGAAAAATGTTTAATTTTTCAAATGCAATTTGAATCATGTTGCTTTTTTACTGACTCAGAGGCGCACCACTAGAAGCCTCTTGGAATAGTCAGTCGCCCAATATTTTTTCCGTGTAGCTTGAGACAGATTCAGGAACGATGGTGCCAGAATCTAGAGTCCTTTCGTACCGTGTCAGTCAGATCGTTGCAAGGTCGAAGATTTTAATTATTAATTGCATAATTTTACGGATTAACTGGTGAGGTTTGGGATTTGACAGCATGTCTCTGATTAAAGACAATACACATCTTAAGTCTGATACAACGAAAGCCTTATTAATGTCATTAGAGAGAATATATTTGAGCGTACATAGTATTGCATATGCTTCGCAGGTTACTGATGTCACCTAGTTATTGATACGAACGCCAAACTCCGTGTTTTGCTAGAGGAGAAAGCTACAGGTCATTCTACCACTAAATTTTGTCTTGATCCCATTAGAGCGAGTAACCTGAATAAGCTTCAATCATCAACGTTTCAAAACTAGCATTCGGGTTAGTACTAACTGTTAACTAAGCGTTCAAAAAGTTTACATCGGTCTGAATCCTATGCCAGCTGGCTTGAGAATGAAGACAACTTTAGTATTTCTTTATTGAGGTTAAATAAAATTTCTTAATTACATTTTAAGAATCAAATTAAGAGCAACAGAAGGAAGCTTTTTAATCGTAGCATACGTTATCTTGTCAAGACATGCAACTGTGTCTTTTTTAAAAAGGGACATGGAAGCCTAAAATTCGTTCTTCATAAATGATTGATTCATAGGATCATTCTCGACTATTGTTTTCTTAATCGGTAGTTCAAATGCAAAAATATGAGATTTATAATAAGGTCTTTTTGTAAAGCCTTATAAAAACATCGAAATCTGGCAGGGTGCCTACAAATTTCTCTTCGCAAAATTTTATGATTTCCAGGTGATAAATGATAAAATTTCCATGATACTTTAAAACTCACTATAAACATAAATTATGACGCATTAAAATACTGAAAATGGATCATTTACAACGAATGTGTAAATTCGAGTCTTAGATCATGGAATTGAAAAAATTCTATGATATGATCAGAAAATTCTTCTCCCTCAATTGCTTTCCAACATCATTATCGATTACTCTAAATCTTTCTCTTTTTTCATAATTTTGGTGGAAAACAAATTCCTTTTTAACTGATCTACGTCGTTCAATCAGAGCATCACATTGTAACGAGACCAATCTTTGCTTTACAGGGTAAAGGCCTAAGCAGAATAGATTCTTGAACGGGAACGCAATCGTAAACGAAAACGTAAGAATGTGTAAGAGAAGGATAGCAAATATCTTTATTCTTCTCTCACCCATTCTTACGTTTCCGTTCACGATTGCGTTCCCGTTCAAGAATCTATTCTGCTTAGGCCTTAACACTGAAATATATACTGTATGGAACAGGCAGTCCATCTCTAACCGCGGCTTAAAGGACAGACAATCCGCAGGTATCGTTTTCTCTCTCTGTACAATGTGATGACGCGTTCTGCACATGCGCACTAACAAAACTGAGAAAGAGGACGATACCTGCGGATTGTCTCTCTCACAGCCGTTTTCCTCTCACAGCCTGGACTAGGACTGCCTGTTCCATATAGTATATAATTCAGTGGGCCTTAATGAAACTCTGAAGTTGTATACGCAGGGATGTGTTGACAAATTATAAAGTGCAAATTGTCTCTACAAAATGGTCAAAGGATTGGTAAGCATCAGGGAGCAGTCACAGCTCAGCCTATACGGTTCGTGCATGCAGGTCTTAGATGAGACACTTCCATTGCATGAAGGGGGAACTATATAACCTTAGTTTAAGGTAAAAGATGCAGATGTTGCCACCGTAGATCACGGATATGCGCATGCGCAAATTTGAAAATTCAAATTGAGACACCCAATCGAACAAACGGTCGCGAGCTCGGGCCGGACCTTTGGAAGCCAGTCAGCGTACGAAAATGTCAATAAAATTGAAATTCAAAATTTTAATTTTTTAAATATATTACCTTATAGAAAATTAAAAGGCGCATCTTTTTTTCCTTTAAATTTTTTTTGTATAATGAATATCTTGGATAATAATGGCAAAATAATGAAAGATTTAAATTCTTGATTTTTATTCAGTTTTTAAATATAAATCGTCATTTCTTCGACAAATATTGATGAATTTACTTGGAACTTGATATACACACGCATTTGGGTCTAGAGAAGATAATAGGATAATGAAAAAGTTAAAGTTAAAATTCCCTGCAGACTTTTTCTAATAGAAAGTGAAAAGACGCGATCGACAAGTCATCATTTACACTAACAAATGATTTAACAAATGATGATTTTTAACTTTTTCAATATCCTATTATCTTCTCTAGACCCAAATGCGTGTGTGTATCAAGTTCCAAGTAAATTCATCAATATTTGTCGAAGAAATGACGATTTATATTTAAAAACTGAATAAAAATCAAGAATTTAAATCTTTCATTTTTTTGCCATTATTATCCAAGATATTCATTATACAAAAAAAGTCAAAGGAAAAAAAGATGCGCGTTTTAATTTTCTATAAGGTAATATATTTAAAAAATTAAAATTTTGAATTTCAATTTTATTGACATTTTCGTACTCTGACTGGCTTCCGAGCGTCCGGCCCGAGCTCGCGACCGTTTGTTCGATTGGGTGCCTCAATTATGCTTTTTTTATTTTCATGATTATTATTGTTTTATTAATAATTTTTTGTATTTTTCTATGTGGGTTTCATAAAAACACAAAAATTGTTAATAAAACAATTATAATGATTTACGGCGGCATCTGCACCTTTTACCTGAAACTAAAGTTATGTAGTCTCACCTAATTTTAATGTTGTTTTTAGGTTTGATAGTATTTTGTCCTGAACATTGATAAGTCATAAGTCGAGAGATCGCTGGATCTGATATTTAAACAAAACCATAAAATTAGATCAAAGTTCAGGATCAAAATACAATAACAAATCAAAAGGACGCTGGATTTTAGATTAAAATCGGCAAACTTAACTTCAAAATTATATCAGTTTTTTGGTCAAGAGAGCGAAAATAACTTTACAATTCAAGGTAAGATTGTAACCACTTCACTGGCGGGGGGTTCCAAATGGCGTTCCACGTTACCTGGCCCAGACTGGCAAAAACACCGAAATGTCGTTCCTACTTAATATAAATTATTAATATATAAATATTAATACACCCTAAAAAAAGTAATCTTG